CTCACTTGTCTCTATGTAAAACAAAAAAGCAAACAATATTGAGAATTTTTTTGCAACAACAAAAGCAAGTGCCAGCCGTAATAAATTATGTTAATTTAAGAAGCTAATAATAATTATGAATAAATTATTTAAATTAAAATAAAAACACTCAATATTACCTCACAGCGTGGTAATTCTCCCACAACCAATAGCTACTGCATTAATTTTCCATTCGTTTTCACAACCAAGCAATGTGTAATTGTGGTTGGTATTATTCCATAAATGGATTTTCAATTCAATTAAACTGGAAATTCTTACCAATATTATTTGTTGCTTATTATTGCTTTTGCTATCTTATTTATCATTTTATATTTATCCATTAATAAATACAAATTTTATTGTTTTACCACCACTTCTTAAAGGAATATTCCCCATTTTCTACCTCTTTTGACCACCCCCCAGCTAAAGGATGGCTCACGAATACAAGCGGAAATTGAAAAAAAAGTGTTATTGTCGCTGCTATCGTGTAACAGCCAGTTAATTCCGCTAAATAAACGTTACGTTAGTTTGCCGGTTAAACTGTTTACCCATCAAATATTTAATTAGTCTCCGAGAACTTTAGTGTTAATTAACCCATTGTTTAATGGTTATGTTTAATGGATTTATTAGAGCGGGTTTTTATGATGGGCATTAAATACGACAAATAAAGGGTAATCATTTTAAACCTCATTTCTCCAACAAGGTGCCAGACGAGAAGACGAAAAAGTCTTCTATAGGTAGAAGAGTCTTTATAGACACATTGGATTGACTTCAACCGATCCGTGTCTATATTGACTCCCTGGCCTGTCATCAGCTCGTCTATATAGACTCCCTGGCCTGTCATCAGCTCGTCTATATAGACTCCCTGGCCTGTCATCAGCTCGTCTATATAGACTCTCTGGCCTGGCATCAGCTCGTCTATATGCACTCCCTGGCCTGGTATCAGTTCGTCTATATAGACTCCATGCCTGGCATCAGCTCATCTATATAAACTCCCTGGCCTGACAGCAGCTCGTCGTCTATGTAGACTCCCTGGCCTGACAGCAGCTCGTCGTCTATGTAGACTCCCTGGCCTGACAGCAACTCGTCGTCTATGTAGACTGCTGGGCTGACAGCAGCTCGTCTATATAGACTCCCTGGCATGACAGCAGATCGTCTATACACTGATAGAAAAATGGCATTTCAAATTTAAGCCGAATACACTCAGTTTTTACTAAAATCGTACTTACAAAATTAAGAAAAATTCGTACTTAGTTATTCTTAAAATAAGTACAAATTTGGATAGTTTTATAAATTCAAGTACGGAAATTATTGGAATAAGTATTAATTTCTTGACTTACGTAAAAAATTCGCATATTAAGTTAAGATTTGTATTTAATTCAAGAAAAAATTTCTAATAATGAAAAGTAAGTCATATATAACTTGAATTAGAAAGGAACTTCTTAAAACAAGCTTTGAGAGAAAAACAATGAGTACATAACAAATTTACTCTCTCAGATACTAATGAAAAGTAAGCGGAATATCACTTGAAATAAGAAGAACATTCTTATAACAAGCCTTGAGAGAGGAAAATGATGGAATACAAAAAAATCTCTCGGCTGCATTTTTTTCTTAGTTGCGTTTGTTCATTTCTAGCTTTGATGCAGAACATTGTGGAAAAGCAGTATTAGTTCGATTTGCGCGTGCCAGTAGACTGTTGGTAGAATTGATTGTTTTCCTGTGTGCCAAAAAATGAGTGAAAGTGTTTTTTCAAATGTGAAAGAGACGACTCCTGTCTGCGCAAATTACTCCAGGAGTTTCAATTGGAATCAGTCTTTGATTATTTGAAAGGTGATTATAACAAAGATGGCGAAAAAAATAAAATATATATTTTGAAGTGTTTATAAAAGTGTGCGCCTGTGTTTTTTTTTATACATATGTAATATTTTATTCCAAATATATTGACTATTACATTTTAATAACGGTATATTTCCGAAAAATTCTTATGAAAATGTACATAAAGCTCAACAACGCCTGTTTGCTTTCGCAAACTGTTTGTATAAAATATATATGTGTATACACATAAACACCTATTTGGTATACACATATTACCATGCAACAAAAGGGCGATCTTCAAAACGATAAGATAAGCGCAAAATTTCTTAGATCAAGAATATACTTCTTGCATTTCTAACGCGCATATATTTTAAGTATTACAAATTCTTAACGTAAGTGCAACACACTTAATCTAAGTGGAGAGAGCGAGTTGAAAGCAAACCAAAATGTCTCTGTTATTGTCTGTTGCATTGTGTATTTTTTGGAAGGAGAGAGAGTGTTGAAGCAAATCCAAATTTTATGCTCCATTCCGTTCTCATTGAATTTATTCGTATTCCTGGTCGTCGCTTACTATGTTTTTCAGTTTTGAGTTGTGAAATACCGTTAGTCATGTAGTGTTTTTTTTGTGTATTCATTATTTTTGTGTTATGTAGCAAAATGCATTGATAGTTCTAAAGAATTTTGTTGCTATCGTTATTTGTCGTTGCGCTTTACATTAGTTGTGTTTTATATTATTCTTCAATTACAATATTTCCATATTATCTTTATGGTTTAACAATAACTTTATATCCTTATTTATTTAGCTGCTCAAGTGCGGTATAGAAGTTTGCAATACATGCAAACAGAAGATATAAAAGAAGCAATACCTCCTCTTGGTCTTCGAATAGAATTTCGAGAAAAACTTTTCAATAGCAGGTAATAAAATGTAATGAATATACGATTTGGCGAATTAAATTGATTTTTTAATATTATTTTATAGTTTGGTATCGATGACGAAACAATTTCTGTGCAATCCAAAGTCGACAGGAAAAGAGTTCCATGGGAAACTGCTGATTTGGTAAGCATTAAATTAAATAATTATTTGCAAAAAATTAGCAATTATTTAACATAGTCTTCATTCCAGTCTCATTTGATAAATTTACCACCATAGATTTTATATTTCGTATTATCTTTTCAGATCCAAATTGATTTCGAACTTTTGTATCCAGGCAAGAGTCATTTGTTGTTTTCCAAGTGGCAAAATTTCAAAGGAAAAATTCTGCCATATCACGAAAGAAACGTCACCAAGTGAAGGACACACAACAACTAGGTAAACATGAGGAGTTTTTTGTATTATATAGATTTAAAAATGATTTTTCATTTATTTTTTGTATTACTTTAAAATTTCTCTTAAAAATCAAATAAACTATATTTTACGTAAATCAACCATTGTTTTATTTCATATCAAACGCGCGAAAACAGCTTAAATTCAGCTCGAAAAACTCAATTTAAATTACCTTCGCACTGGCATTTCTTAAATCAATTTTATTTTTGAATTAGAACAAGTGAGAGTTTGGCTTAAATCAAGTTTGGAAATATATTTTTTTATCATTTCAATCTGTGGTACTCTCAATTTAATCTTTTAATCAGGAACAAAATTCTTGAAACAAGAATATTGTGAGATATTTCTGATTTATAGAATGCTCAAATCAAGGCCACGTTGCGCTTGAATCAAGTTTTATTAAGCATTAAATCAATCCTAGCGATCTTTTACCAAGTATATTTCGTACTTAGATCGAAACTAAAATTAACTTAAGTCAATTCCAGTTTTCTTAAATCAAGGCTCTTCTGAGCTTAAAGCAAACACAATCCGGCACAAATGGTGCTAAAATTAAGAAATCCGCACTAGAAAAAACCGTACTTAAATCAAGTTTTTTCATCTTGGTATAAGAAAAACCGCACTTACCGTACTTTTGACACCGCCCCGGCTTCATTTAAGTACGGAATACTCAATTTTTTTATCAGTGTATAGACTCCCTGGCATGATAGCAGCTCGTCTATATAGACTCCCTGGCCTGACAGCAGCTCTTCTATATAGACTCCCTGGCCTGACAGCAGCTCTTCTATATAGACTCCCTGGCCTGCAATCAGCTCGTCGTCTATATAGACTCCCTGGCCTGCAATCAGCTCGTCGTCTATATAGACTCCCTGGCCTGCAATCAGCTCGTCGTCTATATAGACTCCCTGACCTGACAGCAGCTCGTCTGGCCTGACAGCAGCTCGTCTATATAGACTCCCTGGCCTGACAGCAGCTCGTCGTCTATATAGACTCCCTGGCCTGACAGCAGCTCGTCGTCTATATAGACTCCCTGGCCTGACAGCAGCTCGTCTATATAGACTCCCTGGCCTGACAGCAGCTCGTCTATATAGACTCCCTGGCCTGACAGCAGCTCGTCTATATAGACTCCCTGGCCTGACAGCAGCTCGTCTATATAGACTCCCTGGCCTGACAGCAGCTCGTCTATATAGACTCCCTGGCCTGACAGCAGCTCGTCGTCTATATAGACTCCCTGGCCTGACAGCAGCTCGTCGTCTATATAGACTCCCTGGCCTGACAGCAGCTCGTCGTCTATATAGACTCCCTGGCCTGACAGCAGCTCGTCGTCTATATAGACTCCCGGGCCTGACAGCAGCTCGTCTATATAGACTCCCAGGCCTGCCTGACAGCAGCTCGTCTATATAGACTCCCTGGCCTGACAGCAGCTCGTCTATATAGACTCCCTGGCCTGCCTGACAGCAGCTCGTCTATATAGACTCCCTGGCCTGCCTGACAGCAGCTCGTCTATATAGACTCCCTGGCCTGCCTGACAGCAGCTCGTCTATATAGACTCCCTGGCCTGCCTGACAGCAGCTCGTCTATATAGACTCCCTGGCCTGCCTGACAGCAGCTCGTCTATATAGACTCCCTGGCCTGCCTGACAGCAGCTCGTCTATATAGACTCCCTGGCCTGCCTGACAGCAGCTCGTCTATATAGACTTCCTGGCCTGACAGCAGCTCGTCTATATAGATTCTCTGGCTTCCTCCCCCAACTAGAAAAGAAAATATGGACTGGTTTTAAATAAATTGAAAAATAAATACTGCAGATTTTTATTTAAGAAAAAATATAAATATTTTGAGAGACCTTCGCCTATTTCCCTCCAAAAAGCAACGACGATCTCTTCCGGTATGTACAACTCTTAGCAGGAACAATAGTCGGCTTGACATCTGCATTTTGAAAATGTCGATTAAAATAACACAACATAATGCCACTACTTATTGCAGCAGTTGCGAACATTGTCATCGGCAGAAGATAATGAATTTTACCCACTACCAGGGTAAAAGGGACCACCGTTAACCAGAAACGACTGAAACATCCTGTGGAAAGCATCAGCATAGGTCGTTTTTCGATGGACACCATTTCAGCGGTGCGTGTTGTTAGAACGATCAGTACTGCGGAATTTAACATTTTCAATATCAGCCAGAAGCACAGCTCGTAGCCAGCTTTGCGGGATTCCTTAACTGTAAAGAGAAAAATTGTTATATTGGAAATTTATAGGGTGCTTTGAAGAAGTACTTACTTCCATCCGGCGATAGCCATATAAAATATGTGGTAACTCCTCCCAGAATTAATAACCATCCAGAATGCAGCCAGTGCTTTCGGGTATACATGATTATGTAGAGGCCCATAGCAATTCCCAAAATTTCAGCAAAGCCTTAAAGAGTAAATGGAAAATATCGATTAGGTTCGAAATTTAGATATGATATTCAGAACCCTCATCTAAAACTAATTTCATTGGTACTTAAGACGTCTAGAGTTTTCGATCGTCCATATATATAGACTCCTGACCTATTTAGACCCCCTGGCATGTCATCAGCTCGTCTATGTAGACTCCCTCGTTTGTCGACAGCTCATTGTCTATGTAGACCACCTAGCCTGCCTTCAGCTCATCTGTATATATACACTCTGGCGAGGCTTCACCTCGTCTATATATTTATTCCCTGGTCGGGCTACAGCTCCTCTGTATATAGACGTCCTTCCTGGCTTCAGCTCCTCTCCTACACCCTGGCATGACTTCAGCCCGTCTTCCTGACCTGGTTTATGCTTGTCTATAGAGACTCCTAGACCTGACTTCAGCTCGCCGTATATTATAGGGTCCCGACTTGTCATTAGTTCAACGTCTATATTGATAACCAGGCCTGTCATCAGCTCGTCTATATAGACTTCCAGTACTGCAATAAACTGGTCTATATATACTCCTTGGCCTGTCAACCGCTCCTCATGTCTTCAGCTTGTCTATATATAGTTTGTGACCTCTCATTAACTCGTCTATAAATAGGCTTCTTGACCTGGCGTCAGCTCGTCTATAAATATATTCTCTGATCTTACTTAATCTCGTGTATATATAGAATCCCTGGTCTGTCTTCAACGCGTCTATAAAGGCTGTCTATCCTGGTTTCAGCTCGTATATATTTAGATTCCCTGCCCTCGCTTTAGCTAGGCTAACGGATTGCTTATAGGAAATCCCTTCAGGTCGTCAACTCCATAAATAGTCTATTAAGTCTTCTTTTCAGCTCATCTATGAAGACTCCTTTCAGATTCCCTGACCATGGAGGCCTTATACCTTCATCTCTTCAAATAATTCCCTGCCTCCTTCCCCACGGGACTTACCCAAACAAAAGGTATTGACATGCATATACTTTACACCCAGCAGTCGAATCATCAAAATCATCACGGTATAAATAACCATCGATACGGACCAATTCCAATGGAGCATAAATATAAAACGTCTCGGAGTTTTACCATCCCATATGGTCCAATAGGATGGCATTCGACTATTTTTCATTTGCCATGATTTCTGTTCTAAACGTGGCATAACATCACTGGGAATTTGGCGACAATTAATAGAGGCTGCCTTGCTTAATATTTTCAAGGTTTCATCGATATGGCCCTGCTTGAGGTGCCAGCGGGGACTATCTGTTATGAATCTAAAAAAATACGTAAAAACATTAGAAACAATTTCAGATGGAAAGATATATCGAAATCCAACCTGTGTGGTATTATAAAAAGTAAAAGGGATGAGGAGATCGCTATGTAAAGGTAGGTCCAGCTATCACAATACATAGACACACCAGGCAGCAGGATGAGAGCGATGGATGCGAACATTTCAGATAATACCAATATGATGGTTCGCTGTTTACCCGATGTTATATCGGAAACTGCAAATATAAAAAAGGAAATTAGCGATAGGCGAAAAGAGAATAAAATATTAAGGTCCCGAATTTAGAAGTTCCCAAATCTGCGGTTGATATAATTTATTTGTGTGATTTGCAACTTACCTATAACCTGTCCAGAGGTTGTCATAAATGAACAAAACACCGATGTCAAACAGCGATAGTAGACGTGTAGTATAAATGTGGATACTAAGCCAGTTAGATTACCACAAATAATTTGACCAACAATACCTATCATCATGAGACGCTTGGGGCTAATGCTGGAAAATAAATAATATTAATAAATATACGTAGGCAGAGAGAATATATATATAGACAAGGTGAAGCCAGGTGATGAAGTTTATATATACACGAACTGATGGCAGGCCAGGAAGTCTACATGTTGGTGAGCTGATGGCAGTCCAGGGTTTGTATATGTAAACGAGCTGAAGTTAATCTATATAGACGAGCTGATGGCAGGCCAGGGAGTCTATATAGACGAGCTGATGGCAGGCCAGGGAGTCTATATAGACGAGCTGATGGCAGGCCAGGGAGTCTATATAGACGAGCTGATGGCAGGCCAGGGAGTCTATATAGACGAGCTGATGGCAGGCCAGGGAGTCTATATAGACGAGCTGATGGCAGGCCAGGGAGTCTATATAGACGAGCTGATGGCAGGCCAGGGAGTCTATATAGACGAGCTGATGGCAGGCCAGGGAGTCTGTATAGACGAGCTGATGGCAGGGAGTCTATATAGACGAGCTGATGGGAGTCTATATAGACGAGCTGATGGCAGGCCAGGGAGTCTATATAGACGAGCTGATGGCAGGCCAGGGAGTCTATATAGACGAGCTGATGGCAGGCCAGGGAGTCTATATAGACGAGCTGATGGCAGGCCAGGGAGTCTATATAGACGAGCTGATGGCAGACCAGGGAGTCTATATAGACGAGCTGATGGCAGGCCAGGGAGTCTATATAGACGAGCTGATGGCAGGCCAGGGAGTCTATATAGACGAGCTGATGGCAGGCCAGGGAGTCTATATAGACGAGCTGATGGCAGGCCAGGGAGTCTATATAGATGAGCTGATGGCAGGCCAGGGAGTCTATATAGACGAGCTGATGGCAGGCCAGGGAGTCTATATAGACGAGCTGATGGCAGGCCAGGGAGTCTATATATACGAGGGAGTCTATATAGACGAGCTCTATATAGACGAGCTGATGTGGCAGGCCGAGGGGAGTATAGACGAGCTGATGGCATATACGAGCTGATGGCAGGCCAGGGAGTCTATATAGACGAGCTGCTGTCAGGCCAGGGAGTCTATATAGACGACGAGCTGCTGTCAGGCCAGGGAGTCTATATAGACGAGCTGCTGTCAGGCCAGGGAGTCTATAACTTATTATTTTCCATATCCACGCCTGTCTATAGGCCTTGAAAATTATTTTAAAAATTCACGCCTGTTTATATTCCTTGAGAATATCCTTTAAAAAATCCATTCCTGTCTATAGCCGTTGAAAAATAATCGTTAAAAAATCCATACTTGTGTTGTGACCTCAAAAAAATATTCCGTTCTCTGAACTTTATATCAACATACTATTTCAAAATATTCAAAGCGATCAGGCCACCAATCAATCCACCCAGTGCATGAAATGCCTGAGTCAATGAGACCAACATTTCCCGCGAACACACCAAATCGAATTGTGTCACGAGCGATTTATATTCCGCTCTATGTTCAAATTGTTCGCAGGGTACTTCAACTACTTCGCTATTCCCAAACCAATTACTTTGATTGTTTGGCGTAATTTTCCATTCATATTCGGTTAGGTTGATACTATCCGCCAGCCGATAGCTGTAACATTGATCAATGAAAAATTCACGATCTGTCTTTTCCAGTAATTCATTCGTTGTATTTGTTGTTGTTTCATTTTGATGTTTCAGCCACATCTCAGCTGGTCGTATGGTATGATGATCAACATCTCGCTCAGCTGGTATACAGAGGAATTCCGAAGTTTGTGGTACTGGTGCTGTAAAGCTAATACAGGCCATAAACCAGGTGGCGGGGATTTTGCAGAGGCAAATAAAAATCAATGTTTTCAGCTGCCATTTTCCAAAGTTTCCAGTAATTTGGGTAATTATATCTTCACTATTCGGACTAGAGGTCATTGGGGATCAGATGGGGGATTTTTTGTGTATTTATGTTTTTTTTCAATAACTTTTTTTGGTAACTATCGTTTGTTTATTCGTCTTCTACTTGATCACACGTTCCGCTAGCTGGTTATTTGCAAACTAAAACATGTTTAGAGATGTTTTATGGCGGCACAAGCTTATGGGCCACAATCACAGCTAAGCTCAACTCAGCTGAGCTGAATGTCGTCTGGCATAGGCGATTAATTGTGTAATTTATTGATTTGTTGTTGTGGTGCGGGAGAGGGCTTCCAAATGTTTGTTTTTATAAAATAAAAGTTTTACACCTCGGCATACCAGTTCGCAGGTCTTTTTGTTTGTTAGTTCGATCGCTTGTGAGGTTTGTATACAAAACGTGCGGTTGGTCAAGAGTTCCCACTCTCCCATTTAAAATTGCTCAAATTGACGCTATTTATTAGCAAGGTTATGTGAAAGAGACACTGTTTGAATAACAAATTTTAATGGATCGGAGGTTTGTTTTGCGAAAATAAAAATTAGGTTTAACACCTAGAAGAAAGTTTTTCTTTATTTTTTGGATGCGCAGATATAAACAAAACCAGTAAGGAAAGTTGTAAAGTCGGACGGGTCCGACTATATGATACCCTTCACCACTTTGGGTATATTCAAAAGATGCATCCTAACAGACGTCGCATTTTTAAAGGACAAGTAAAATGAAATTGGATCCATAAACATGTCATTCTGCAACCGATACTAAATTTTTCATTTGGCCAGATATAGAAGCTATATCTAAATCTGAACCGATTTTCACGAAACTTAACACACGTCATTCAAAACTTCATTGAGTACGCTGTGCCAAATTTCGTGCAAATCGAGAGATATATTGGGACTTTGGTGCGCCATTTACATTGAATCGGACGAAAATATATATGGGAGGTATATCTAAATCTGAACCGATTTTCATGAAACTTAGCAAACATTGTAGGCTTAATTCAGTACTCTGTACCAAATTTCGTGCAAATCGAAAGATATTTAGGACCTTTGGTGCACCATTTATATAAAATCGGGCGAAAATATATATGGGAGCTATATACAAATCTGAACCGATTTTCATGAAACTTAGCAAACATTATTCTAGGCTTAATTCAGTACTCTGTGCCAAATTTCGGGCACATCGAAAGATATTTAGGGACTCTGGTGCACCATTTACCTAAAATAGTACGAAAATATATATGGGAGCTATATATAAATCTGAACCGATTTTCATGAAACTTAGCAAACATCATTGTAGGCTTAATTCATTACGCTATACCAAATTTCGTGCAATCGAAAGATATATAGGGACTCCGGTGCACCATTTACCTAAAATCGGACGAAAATATATATGGGAGCTATATATAAATCTGAACCGATTTTCATGAAACTTAGCAAACATCATTCTAGGCTTAATTCAGTACTCTGTACCAAATTTCGTGAAAATCGAAAGATATTTAGGGACTTTGGTGCACCATTTACCTTAAATCGGACGAAAATATATGGGAGCTGTATATAAATCTGAACCGATTTTCATGAAACTTAGCAAACATCATTCTAGGCTTAATTCAGTACTCTGTGCCAAATTTCGTGCACATCGAAAGATATTTATGGACTTTGGTGCACCATTTACCTAAAATCGGACGAAACTAACCTAAATCTGAACCGATTTTTCCCAATTTCAATCGTGTTCGTCCTTGGGCCAAATAAGTGACGTATGCCAAATTTCATCCAATTCGGATCATAAATGCGACCTGTACTTTGTTCACAATTTAACATGGACAGACAGACAGACGGACGGACGGATATGCGCAAATCGACTCAGAAAGTGATTCTATGCATATTCTCAAAAGGTACCATGGGTCTATCTCGATTTTTTTTGCCTGTTACAAACATATGTACAAAGACATAATACCCTGTACCACAGTGCGGTGAAGGGTATAAAAATATGGACTGAAATTCGGTTGAATCGAAAAATCGACCATGGAAATTTTTAAAGATTATAGATTTTCTTCGAAGACCACGGACACATCTACAACAAAGAGTGGATTTTTAAAATATAGTTTTCAAAGACTTAGACAGGTTTTTAAGGAATACAGACCGGGGGGATTTTTTTAAAACAAAATTTTAACGATTTTTTAAAGATATATTTCAAGGACTATAGACAGGCGTGGATTTTTTAAAGAATATTTTTCAAGGGCTATAGACAGGCGTGGATTTTTTAAAGAATATTTTTCAAGGACTATAGACAGGCGTGGATTTTTTAAAGAATATTTTTCAAGGACTATAGACAGGCGTGGATTTTTTAAAGATTACTTTTCAAGGACTATAGACAGGCGTGGATTTTTTAAAGATTACTTTTCAAGGACTATAGACAGGCGTGGATTTTTTAAAGAATATTTTTCAAGGACTATAGACAGGCGTGGATTTTTTAAAGAATATTTTTCAAGGACTATAGACAGGCGTGGATTTTTTAAAGAATATTTTTCAAGGACTATAGACAGGCGTGGATTTTTTAAAGAATATTTTTCAAGGATTATAGACAGGCGTGGATTTTTTAAAGAATATTTTTCAAGGACTATAGACAGGCGTGGATTTTTTAAAGAATATTTTTCAAGGACTATAGACAGGCGTGGATTTTTTAAAGAATATTTTTCAAGGACTATGGACAGGCGTGGATTTTTTAAAGAATATTTTTCAAGGACTATAGACAGGCGTGGATTTTTTAAAGAATATTTTTCAAGGACTATAGACAGGCGTGGATTTTTTAAAGAATATTTTTCAAGGACTATAGACAGGCGTGGATTTTTTAAAGAATATTTTTCAAGGACTATAGACAGGCGTGGATTTTTTAAAGAATACTTTTCAAGGACTATAGACAGGCGTGGATTTTTTAAAGAATATTTTTCAAGGACTATAGACAGGCGTGGATTTTTTAAAGAATATTTTTCAAGGACTATAGACAGGCGTGGATTTTTTAAAGAATATTTTTCAAGGACTATAGACAGGCGTGGATTTTTTAAAGAATATTTTTCAAGGACTAACCGAGGCTCAGGCGTGGATTTTTAAAGAAGATTTTTCAAGGCGTGGATTTTTTAAAGAAGATTTTTCAAGGACTATGAAACCTTTAAGCGTGGATTTTTTAAAGAAGATTTTTCAAGGACTATGAAACCTTTAAGCGTGGATTTTTTAAAGAAGATTTTTCAAGGACTATAGACAGGCGTGGATTTTTAAGAACTATAGACAGGCGTATATCAAGGACTATAGACAGGCGTGGATTTTTTAAAGAATATTTTTCAAGGACTATAGACAGGCGTGGATTTTTAAGAACTATAGACAGGCGTATATCAAGGACTATAGACAGGAGTGGATTTTTAAGAACTATAGACAGGCGTATATCAAGGACTATAGACAGGCGTGGATTTTTTAAAGAATATTTTTCAAGGACTATAGACAGGCGTGGATTTTTAAGAACTATAGACAGGCGTATATCAAGGACTATAGACAGGAGTGGATTTTTAAGAACTATAGATAGGCGTATATCAAGGACTATAGACAGACGTGGATTTTTAAGAACTATAGACAGGCGTATATCAAGGACTATAGACAGGCGTGGATTTTTAAGAACTATAGACAGGCGTATATCAAGGACTATAGACAGACGTGGATTTTTAAGAACTATATAGGCGTATATCAAGGACTATAGACGGGACTATAGACAGGCGTATATCAAGGACTATAGACGGGACTATAGACAGGCGTATATCGAGGACTATAAACGGGAAAATAGACAGGCGTATATCAAGGACTATAGACGGGACTATAGACAGGCGTATATCAAGGACTATAGATACATATAGATTCCGAGGCATATACCCAAGTTTGGATTTTTTAAATTTCTTCTGCATTTGCATGTTTTTATTCAATATTATTCAAGGCCTTCACTAAACATTAGATTTTTGAAATTTTAAATATTTAAAAGAAAATTTACAATTTACAAGCACGATTTTTTTAAATAAATTTCAGGTCTAGATTCCATATTTTTCAAAGTAATCCGTATCCGTATTCAATCATCTCTTTATCGTAGATATCGTAAATTATTTATTCATTGACAAAAAAATCACGGAACTAGTCCGGTGGGAACACTTTTAAAATTGGCTGTACGACGTTCCAGTAGTAGGGACACAAACCAGTATAGATTTTTAGCCATGTCACACCCCAGTGAGATGACGCGCGAGAATAGTTCCTAGGGTCAAAGTAGATGGCGCTTAGATACACTCATACGACATCTAGTGGTGTTAATATCAAAACTGTTCCCAACATAATATATATTAAGAACAGAAAATGAATTCAATTATTGAGAACACAATGGTACAGACCAGCAATGTATTTGTTGTCTCAAGGGAACCTTTTTCTAAGGCGGACCCTTCCTAGGTAATATGTCTGAATTTAATAAGGTATGTTAATTAATTTTTATAATAAAATTATGATTATTATTTATATTATTATTATTATTTTTATTTTTATTGTCATTATTGGTATAAACATTATTATTTTATTTTTACTATTTAATTTTACCTATTCTATATAGGAATCGGTTCAATAAATACCACTAAATCTTCAAATAATTTAATTCTTTGTCTGTTTTCTTTGAGTCATATCCCACAGCCATCCTCAGCCTAAATATATGAATTCCTTCGTGTATTCTCTGCCACAATTGCATCCATTTTTCTTGTCTCTTCATCGGGCAGCTCCCTCGACATTTCCCAAAATTCTTCAATACTAACCGACAGCGATGGGTTATCACAACCACCCGTATCTGAATTACTACTACTTCCACCACCACCCTCGAGGGCATTAACATCCAAAGTGGAGCTTAATTTTCTCAATAGAATTGTTGAAGATTTCCGACGATAGGTATTGGGTGTGGGTATTTTCTTCACCTTCGGTTGTTCATCATTACAGAAGTGGATATTGAGGAAACACATTAGGGCACCGCTGCTTAAAGCCAGCGTCGCAAAGATGGTTATGGGTAGCAGACGATGAAACTTGATGAGCACCAATATGAAGGGTCCAATGGAGAGCCAGAAGCGACTAAAGCAACCAGTTGAGAGGGAGAGGGCTGCTCTTTTCTCGGGTGATACTAATTCTCCGGAGCATACGGTAAGGATGACCAATGAGGCGGAATTGACCAGTTTGAGGAATAACCAGAAAATCATTTCATAGGCTCCCTTGTGGGCATCTTTAACTGGAAGTGAAGACGATATGGGAGGTTATTGGATGATAGATAAATTATCTAACAGAAATATATGGAAATTATTTAAGATTAGGTAGATAAAGTATATACTTTGTACCCATAGATAAAGTATCTATGTTAGATAATGCATCTGTGTTATTTGAAAAGTTTAGATGATTTATTTGGATAACGTAGATAATGTATCTACGTTATTTGAGTAGCGTATATAATTTATCTATGTCATTTGAATAGCTTAGATAATTTATCTAAGTTATATGAATAGCGTAGATGAATTATCTAATTTATTTGAATATCGTAGATAATTTATCTACGTTGTTGAGGTAATGTAGAAAATTTATCTACGTTATTTGGATAACGTAAGTAATGTATCTACGTTATTTGGATAACGTGGATAATATAGCGCAGATAATGTAAATATGTTATATGACCGCCGTAGATAATGTAAATATGTGATATGACCGCCGTAGATAATTTATCTACGTTATGTTGATAATGCAGATAATTTATCTACGTTATTTTTTGTAAAGTAGATATTTTATCTAACTTAGATAATGTACCTACGTCATTTGTTATATGCAGGTAAGGTATCTAAATTATTTGGATAACATAGGTAATGTATCAAAGTTATTTGAATAACATAGATAATGTATCTACGTAATTTGAATAACATAGATAATGTATCTACGTTATTCGAATATACGTTATTCGAATAACGTAGATAATGTATTTAGATAGCGCAGATAATGTATATATGTTGTATGAATGCCGTAGATAATATATCTACGTTATGTTGATAATGTAGATAATTTATCTATGTTATTTTTATAACGTAGGTAATATATCAACGGTATTTGTATTATGCAGATAATAACGCATTATCTACATTACTTAGATAATGTGTATACGTTATTTCGGTAACGTAGATAATGTATCTACGTTATTTGGATGACGTTGATAGTGTATCTATGCTATTTTGATAACGTAGATAATGTATCTAGGTTGCTTGGATAACGTACATAATGTATCTACGTTATTTGGATACCGTAGATAATGTATCTACGTTATTTGGATGACATAGATAAATTATCAACTTTGGATAAAGTAGATAATGCTTAAACGTAATGTTGATAACGTAGATAATGTATCTACGCTATTGGGATGAAGCAGATAATGTGACTACTTTATTTCAATAATGTAGATAAATTATCTACCTAATTTTAATAAAGTAGATAAAGTATCTACGTTATTTTGATAACGTAGATAATGTATCAAAGGCATCTACATAACTTAGATAATGTGTCTACGTTATTTGGGTAACATAGATAATGTATCTACGTTATTTAGATGACGTTGATAATGTATCTATGCTATTGTGATAACGTAGATAATTTATCTAGGTTGTTTGGATAACGTAGATAATGTTTCTACGTTATTTGGATACCGTAGATAATGTATCTAAGTTATTTTAGTAGCGTAGATAATGTATCTAAGTTATTTTAGTAGCGTAGATAATGTGTCTACATTATTTGGATAACGAAGATAATGTATGACATAGATAATGTATTTGGATGACATAGATAATGTATCTACTTTATTTTGATAAATTGGATAATGCTTAAACGTAATTTTGACAACGTAGATAATGTATCTACGCTATTTGGATGAAGTAGATAATGTGACTACTTTATTTCAATAATGTAGATAATTTATCTACGTTAGTTTGATAACGTAGATAATGAATATACGTTATTTGGATCACGTAGATACATTTATCTACGTTATTTTAATAACATAAATTATGTATTATCTAACATTATCTAGATAATTTATCTAAGGAATTTTAAAAGCGTACATAATGTATCTACGTTAGTTTTATAACGTAGATTAAGCATCTACCGTATATCGATAACGAAGAGAATGTATCTATGTTATTATGACAACACAGATAATGTATCTACTTTCGATAATTTAGATAAGTTACCTACGTTATTTTGATAACGTAAATAATTTATCTATGTTAGTTTCATAAAATAGATAATGTATCTATTTGGATTTATCTAAATATCACAGATAAAATAAATCTTTAACTATTCGACTTACTTGAATCGGGTATAAACCAAATCAGATATGTAATGCCTCCAGCAAACAACATCAAATATCCAGACCACAGCCACCTATGTCGTGTATAAAGGGTCAAATAGAGACCCAAAAATATTCCCAACATTTCAGCAAAACCTAAAATTCCATAACAATATCAAAAATCAAATGTATCCTTATGCTTCCGAACTTACCCAAACACGAAGTATTGACATGCAATTGTGTCGTATCCACAAAACGTATCATTACCACCATAACGCTATAGATAACCACAGAGACGGCCCAAGCCCAATGTATTAGGATGATAAAAAGTCTAGGGGATTTACCATCCCACAATGACCAAAACGTGGACGTTGGTTTCTTTTGTAACTCCGTGGCTAAATACTCCAGACGTTGTTCCATATCCAAGGGTATTGAACGATTATTAAATGCTGCCGATTCGAGGAGGAGTGTGAGGGTCTTATCGATTTTTTGATGTTCGAGTAGCCAGCGAGGACTATCGGCTATCCATCTGTTTGGGAGGAGAGGAAATTACTATTTTTGTTTCGATCTGTTGGGACTTTCCTCACTTACCTATGTGGTATCACCAATAATAGCAGGGACGATGATATGGCAACATATAAATGACTCCAGCTATCGAAGAATATCGATATACCCGGTAGTAGTATCAAACCAATCGAAGAGAATAATTCCGAGAGAATTATGGTCATTGTTCGTGCCTTGCCTGCGGTGATGTCGGACACTAATAAAAGAAATATTTTTTTTCGGGATTATTAAAGAAAAAATAACCAAATTAAAAAAAAATGTCAGTCTAGCTGATTCGACAAATTCGACAAAGCTAAATCAGGGTTTCTTTAGGTAACCTTCAATTTGACCCACATGAATTAGGTTTCCGTTAGATAACCTTCAATTCGGACCAGCTGAATTAAGTTTAAATTAGAAAATTTTAAATTCAGCTTAGCTGAATAATATTTATATTAGTTAAACTACAGTTCGGCCCATCTTTAATTCGAGCCAGCTGAATTAGGTTTCCATTAGGTAATCTTCAATTCGGCCCAGCTGAAATAGTTTTAACTTAGCTGAACTACATTTATATTAGTTAAACTTCAATTCGGCTTGGCTGAATTAGGATTCCATTAGGTAACCTTCAATTCGGCTCAGCTGAAATAGGTTTAATTTAAAAAAATTTTAATTCAGCTTAGCTGAACTATATTTATATTAGTTAAACATCAATTCGGCTAGGCTGAATTAGGATTCCTTTAGGTAACCTTCCATTCGGTCCAGCTGAATTAGGCTTCCATTAGGTAACCTTCAATTCGGCCCAGCTGAATTAGGTTTTCGTTAGGCAATCTTCAATTCGGCTTAGCTGAATTAGGTTTCCTTTAGGTAACCTTCAATTTGGCCCAGCTGAATTAGGTTTCCATTAGGTAACCTTCAATTCGGCCCAACTGAATTAGGTTTCCATTAGGTAACCTTCAATTTGGCCCAGCTGAATTAGGTTTCCATTAGGTAACCTTCAATTCGGCCCAGCTGAATTAGGTTTCCATTAGGTAACCTTCAATTCGGCCCAGCTGAATTAGGTTTCCATTAGGTAGCCTTCAAAACTGAATTAGGTTTAAATTAGAACATTTTCAATTCAGCTTAGCTGAACTATATTTATATTAGTTAAACTTCCATTCGGCTTAGCTGAATTAGGTTTCCATTAGGTAACCTTCAATTCGGTCCAGCTGAATCAGGTTTCCATTAGATAATCTTCAATTTGGCTTAGCTGAATTAGGATTCCATTAGGTATCCTTCAATTAGGCCCAGGTGAATTAGGTTACTACTAGGTATCCTTCAATTCGGCAAATCTAAATTAGGTTTCCTTTACGTAACCTTCAATTCGACCCAGCTGAATTAGGTTTCACTTAGGTATACTTCAATTCGGCCCAGCTGAATTAGGTTTAAATTAGAACATTTTCAATTTAGCTTAGCTGAACTATATTTATATTAGTTAACCTTCAATTCGGCCCGGCTGAATTATGCTTCCGTTTGTAAATCTTCAATCTGATCTAGTATTTTCCTTGGAAATCTTTATTCCAGCTCAACTTAGAATATGTCAACTGAGCTTAGCTGAATTTCACAATCTTCAGTTAAGCTCAGCTGAATGAGGATTTTCTTTAGAAAATCTTTACTTAAGACCAGATGAATAGGGTTACCATGGGTAAATCTGCAATTCAGCTCAGCTGAATTAGGTTTCTATTAGGATATCAATAATATGATTTGCAAATGTTTATCCGCCTCCTCGACATACTTACATATAACTTGTCCCGAAGTATACATAAAGGCACAAAATATGGATGTCAAACAGCGATAGTAGACATGCAGCACGAAAGTGGAAACCAGTCCCGTCATATTGCCACAGATGATTTGGCCAATCATGCCATACAGCATCAGACGTTTGGGACTAACTCTGAAAAACAGAAATCAGTCATCTATCGGAATTGAAGGGAAATTAAATCTTTTACATTCTCAACGACTTCACTGCCAAAAATCCACCAATCAAGGCACCCAGGGCATGAAATGACTGCGTAACGGATACCAACAGCTGACGTGAGCAAACCAAATCAAATTCCGTTATTAGGGATTTATATTCCGAAATATGTTCAAAATGATCGCAAGGTACAATCGTGTCAGAATTCTGATCTCGCTGAGGTTCATCAAATGGATTTGTGTAATTCGATAGCTCTGCCGACGAGGGTTTACGTATATAACACTGATCGATGTGAAATTCACGATCGGTTTTCTGTTGATATTCACGTGCGGGATAGGATTTGTGTATCCATTCCTCGGTGTGAGGGTGGGAAACATTTTCCTCCAAAGGAATATTATTCAATGAGGGTTTACAATAATAATCCGTTTTCTGTGGAACTGGTGCTGTATAAATGACACAGGCCATGAACCAGGAGGTGGGGATTTTACACAAAAACACTAAAATTATGGTGCGTAACTGCCATCGCCCGAAATTCCCGGTTACACTGTGAACTATATCCTCTTCATGTGACATTACAGCTATTTTTTTCCGTAATGTTCCGAACCGTACCGTTTCTCTATTATCACCTCAGGTGATCGTTCGTGCTTCCGATGTGACAGTTTCCAATCAACTGTGCGAATCTGTCTCCCGCAGCGAAAAAATCGTACAAAACTATGGAAAATTATTGAGATTTCCAGCCAATACTCTGCTGCTTCTTCTTAATGTTCGGTTATTTACCAATTCAATTAATTATTAAAAATTTGTGCTAATAAATTAAGTTAT